TGTAAACACTGAGTTCATAGCTACTTGAAAAACACACAAGGTGATTTGGTCACACATTTTAAAACTATGAGTGGTTGTGAAACCTCTTGGGGAGGAATGTCAAGTGTTTGTTCCTCAAACCATCCGTCTTCACTGTCAAGAATGTGAATTTTATTGTCCTTAGAAGTCTTCCTTATCCTAGAGACAGCAATGGATGAGACAGAAATTTGTGCCACATGTTTCCTTTATAATATTATTCTTTGTGTCCTTCACTGGACTACAAAAAAATAATAATAGATTAAAAAAGCCAGAGTCTTGCGAAGTCACGGAATAATGTTAAGAATTCTAATTTCTGCCATCATCATAGGGTCAGTTATAATTAACTTAAATGTTTTGTGTTTAACTTCATCTAAACTTGAAACGTCACGTTCCTTTTCTCATTGCTATGGGTGAGCACTACAAACAAACAATAACTGAGTGCTACATGGAATTTTGGGCATAGAAACAACATCGCGTCCGCTTATAAACACTAAAAAGTACTACATGTACAACTGACTAAATGTAAAATAAAAAATATTACACCTGTGAAGCTCTCGCGTGACACATAAAATGCAATGACAGGCCACATTTGGCCCACGGGTCTTCAGTTTGACACATATGACTTATGGCAATCATGCAGGATACTGTTGCTCTAACAACCTGAGTTGAATTAAGAAGCAAACATCTCCAAAACACAAAATTCAGTTGTGGACAATAGTTTTGAAGTTTCAACAGTCTCTAACGTTGCAGCAAACAGTTTGTTCACTTATTATTTGAAAAAGGGTGAAAAGCCACGAAACCTTTTGATGCCAGATTTTCAGAAGTTTTTTTATTATCATTTATTTAAACCCATTCCTTAAAAATGCAACAAATTTTGAAGTTTGTAAAAATTCTCATAGGGCAAATTATACTAACATCAGGAGACATGTGATACAAAAAAACATCTATTGTCTTTAGGTTCCATTTAAAATAAAAGGTATTTAGAATAACAACACCACACAGACCCAAGTGTTATTGTGACAAATTTGCAAACTTTTAAAAACTGCTCAAAAGTGTCTTAAATATTTTTTTTACTCTAAATAAGAATTTGGGCATTATCACATCTCCTGAAAAGTGGGCTCTTATACAAGCTTGCAGGGTTTGCATCACGTTTTTGCACGACCAAACCTTTTTGCCGCAGTGTGAAGATCAGTGTGAACTTTGGATGCAGGTTGAGTAGGTTCATAATCTAATTACGTCAGCAGGAAGAAGTAATCAATGCACTGAMCTCCACAGGGAATAAATCATTTATAAACATAGTACAGGTTTTCAGTCTTTTCTATGACTGAACTCCACCCTTTCTGCTGGTGAGGGAGTGATGGTAATCAGCTGAGACACATCTTATGTACAACAATATGTTGGAATGTGAACAAAAAAGGGAGTTGTTCTTTTGTCATTTGTACTTTCATTTGAGATGGTAATTCATCTGAAATTGTTACTTTTTATGGGAGAAATATGAGAACAAAACTCAGTATTAGTCATGATGTAAAAACAAAACAAWACAAAAAAAGCAGTCCTTTTTTCCTGATAAGGTTGTTCTCTCTGACACAAGATCTTTCATCTGCCAAGCTCTCATCAGGGCTACCTCTGGCTCCGCCTGTTTATCTTAATCTCTGACTTAGTTTTTTTCCTCTAGTGACTACCTTTAAAAGGCACTTCCTGCGAGTGATGACATCACCGTGTGGTTCATAGGAAGGGGAGGGAGACTGGAGGGTGGAGACATATGGACTCGATGCCCATTTCTGTATTTGTTGGCACATGTAAACACATTCAGATTCTGTATTTATTGGATTTAACTTTAACTGAGCTTAGATTTTTAGGTTTGGTTTTTTGCTTCCTTCTTATAGGAGAGCCTAACCAAAACCACCAGTCAAACTAAAAGTTGCCAATTGCAAAACTTTTTTTTATTTGAGTTCATGCTATCATAATAAACTGTGGATTCCACCTCGCAAAAACCTCTCTTTCACCCGGTTGGTCAGAACTTGTGCAGAAGAATTCCAGAAATGTTACTGAAATTATAAAAGGGGATTAGCGGGTGTCTGGTCTGTGTAAGGGCCAAACATGCATTGATAAACCCTTCTGGGTTCGGTGGAGAAGCTGCAAAGGATTCCCAAAGTCAGGCACAAGAACAGTCTGTTCTCTGCACACACACACACACACACACACACACACACACACACACACACACACACGCACACACGCACACACGCACACACGCACACACCTCTGCTTTCTGCCTCTAATGATTCAACTCGCAACATGTTTGTTGTCATTGTTTCTCTGTGTTTGATTAGTGTGCATGTCAGTGTGGAGCTCGTTTAGACCAGTTAGGTTAAAGAGTTAACTCAGCTCCACATAGTTAAAGTAGGACTAGTGGCTGGAAATGAGAGCAGTGATGATTTTTTTCCTTTTCTTTTTTTGTTTTACAAACAAAATCAGTACGTTTTTTTTTTCAATATTCATGGTCTTAGATCGATCGATCGATCGATCGATCTATCTATCTATCTATCTATCTATCTC